AGGATTTTGTATCCAATCAACGTCATTATTAGTAGCAGGAAAATACTGAGACAATGATTTTTCGAGGTTTTCCAAATGTTTGATAACAATTTTTTTAATATTAGTTGTTAGTTGCAATTCATTTTCCTTTAAAAAATCCATCAAGAGAGGAAAGCATTCATTCTATCCATTCTTTCATTCAGATTCTATTGTTGATGAAGACGCCACAGTCTCATCAATATTATTACTTGTTTTGGCCAACAACCGTCCTGTTCTAAGCCAATTATGCATGGCAAACTTTTTATTTGTAGTTATGTTGTATTTATAATAAATAATAATTAATAACGCAGTAACAACATACACGAAGTATGTCGTATGACAACTATATGCCAACTGAATCATAATCTCTTAATTTTAACTCATTACGATTACGGATATAATGTATCAATCGTATCGAACGCGAATGCGTGCACATAAGTTATTTTTATAAGTTATCGCACAATTTACTGGCAATCGCGTTGACACGCTTATCTAAATTCTACAAATCTACATCGTTAACGTAATGACAACGTCTATAGGTACATGAGTATTATAACGATATAATATATAATATAATGATATTATATTATATTAACTNTTATTTAGATTTTAGGTGAACTTTTTTTAAATAATATAAAATAATATTTTTTATATAAATAATCCAAATATAATATAAAATAATTTTCTCAACATCACATACATCTGACGGAACCCTTGAGATAGTCCGGCGGAACCCTAGGGTTCCGCGGAACACACTTTGGAAAACGCTGCTCTAGAAAATCTACGAACTTCCCGTATTCTAATCTATAGTATTTGGTATTACCCATGATGTAGAGAAGATAATGTGACTCCACTAGTAGATATTTGTGTCGGCACCACCTGATAGCGTCACGATTCGCCCGAAGATCGGTTTTAATGTTATGAATACATGGATTTAATATAAAATAATAATAATTTATGTACATTTTTGGTACTAGTTACTTGTTACTAAGTTCTATTGTTCTACAAGTTCATTAGTCAACTAGGTAGGTATATAATAAAATAGTTTTAATTAACAAAATATTAAGTGTTATTACAATATTTTAAATATGTTGTAGGTACCTATTACAATTTAAATTGTTTATCTAAATTTGTTGATTTTTATTTTCCGAGCAGAAATTATATTACATGTGTACATGTAGAAGTAAATTATGGTTAGGTTAAGTAACCCCGCCTGATGATTTGGTCTGAGTACGGGCCTGATCAAACAATAATTAATAGCAACTTCACGGCGAATACGGGTGTTTTTGAGCGTTTTTAAAATAACTATTACTTAATATAACAGTAATCGTACTCGGAAAGTGTTTAAAAGTTTTAAATTTAACATCAATATTTTGTGATTTGATCACAAAATATTATAAACGGAATGGTAATTACAAGAGTTTTAAAAGGCGAATTCGTGGATTATCTGTTCCAAGATATTCATGTAAGGCTTCTGATGCTATTGATCAAATTTACATAGTGCACCCTAATATACTGAATGTTTTCATCTCCGTTTACTACTTCATCATATTAAAGGACCTACATTATTTTAGATTCTAAGTTGAGTGAGAAATGTATTGGTCTTACAACGATGTTCATTTTTTTTTTTATGAATTAATTTTCTACCAGCAGCAATTTGCTTCGATTTACATTGATAGCACTTTTTCTGAAAAGAAATCTAAATTGGGTGGTTCTCTAAGGAAGTAATATTTTGATTTCCCAATTAATTTGAAAAACCGGCCAAAACGAAGGAAAAACGAGAAAACATGTATAATTTTCAACAAATACTACGAAAAAAAAAAATAAAAATATAATGCATATGAATTCAACATAATATGACATACATATTGTTGACAAAGCAACACTATCCATCGAACTCCGCTTAAAATCATTTTTTCGTTAGCAATAGTTTATCGTTGCTGACAAATATACATTAAATGTTCCCTCTACCACCCTCCTAACTATACACTAATAATAGTGGTTGTATCCATTCTCATCCCAAAATAGCTTTTTAAGTTTACATTTTATCAATAGCATAGTTTATCTTAATTTTCAACTTAGAAAGCAATATGATTACTTCTAAACCATATACTGCTATTATCAGCAACTATTTTCTTATTATAAAAAATAATAATATTTGCGACATAAACTATATAACCTAGAAAACAATTATTTAGATACTATACTGCGCTGATAGTAAAATGTCATTTTTCCTCGAATATTTTTGGTCAAGGAAATTGTTATTTGTCAGTTTAATATCGATTGATTAATTTAATATCAATTGATTTTAACTATAATTTTGCATAATTTCAAATTAATCTATAGGTGTATATAAAAGGGAAAGCTAACTGATTTATCATTTATACGTACAGCTCAAACCTCTGGAAAGTTCGGCTGAAATTTGGCATATAGATACGCAGCTATTATGACGTAGGTAGAAAGGATTTTTAAAACTTAAGCCCTACGGTAATTAAAAGGGGTAAAAATGGCAAACACTTAGCAGCGTAGGATTTACTAGTATTTTAACTTTTATCGAAATTTTAAATTTAAATTGTTTTTTTATTTTCATTTATGATTATAAACTACCAAGTGTTGATAAGAAAGGTTAGGTGTTTATCATAAAAGTGGATATTCGATACAGTGAACGTTTGAGACAACTATAAATTTAGATAACTATATACTTAGATAATATTCAAATATTTGATTTCGAGGTAGTTGTCAACAGAAGCAGTTGCTTTTCAATGCAATTGTGATCTCCTGCTATTTAGTATTTAGTAGTTTTTTCCATGTGATGATCCTGAGATCTAGTCTGTCTAGTGCATAGATAATATTATCTATGGTTTAGCGTCTTATTAACATATATACTATCTCTCTCATTACATATTTTTTTTTTAAATATACAGGTATATTTACCTCCTTTACGGAATAGGCAGTCCATATATTTACATTTTATGTCTAGTTTTATTTGTTTACATTTTTAAAAAATATATGGACCTATTAAAGAGTGCACCATCTGGTTTCATATAATTTGTGGTTTTATACTCTATCCATTATAACTTTATCCCTTCTTTATTCCGTGACATGATCACAGATATGATTGTACAAACTATCTGTAGACATGATTGTATCTATAAATCTTGGTAGATAACGCTAATTTTGATATGGGGATAGGGTCATTTTTCCCAAAATTAATTTAATTTAACTAAAAAGAAATAAATAATCTCATTATTATCAAGTCGGTAGGTACAAATTTTTCTTAAATTTACTTAATCAATTGACTTTATGTTCCTTCTATGTTAATTGTAAATACTTATTTTTAGTTTATTGAATTTAATTTCACGTTATTATTCATTAGTTATTTTAGATTCTGCATATTATAGAATTAGTTAACCGTTATAAGAATGCAAGTACAAGAATGTCAACCCAAATATGCCAAATTGAATGTAGGTGGCTCATTGTTTTATACAACAATTGGAACATTAACTAAACATGATACAATGCTGAAAGCTATGTTCAGTGGCCGGATGAATGTACTAACTGATTCTGAAGGTATTTTAGACAAATATGTATAATATAAACCATGTATTAAACAGATATTTTAGTTGTGTTAAAAATTTTAAGGTTGGGTCCTGATTGATCGTTGTGGTAAACACTTCAGTTCTGTGTTAAACTTTTTACGAGATGAACATATTGCTCTTCCAGACAAGACACACGAAATTGCTGAATTATTAGCAGAAGCTAAATTTTATTTAATATCTCCATTGGTTGACGCCTGTCAACAATCTTTACGATTAAGACAGTGTAAAATTGAACCGCAATGCCGTATACCTCTTATATCGTCTAGTCCAAGCTTAATTCAATTAATAACATTGAGTTCAAAAGTAAACAAATTTAAAGTTTTAAAAAACACATTTTCTTAATTATTTTGTATTTTAGCCCACGGTAAAACTACTAATAAATCGGCATAACAATAAATATTCATATACGAGGTACTTAAAAAGATGTTAAGGTATGAGTCTAGTTTACTTGACACCCTTTGTTTTCCAATTTTTTTTTAAATACATGCTTTTCAACACCGATTTTAGGACTGATTGATTTTTTTGCGGAAATCATTACTAAAAAAGTTATGAAAGTTTGAAGTTTTTCATTCTTAAGGAGGTTTTTGCTTAAATACCTAGTTATTTTATATTAATTTTTTTACACTTGACCGATATGGTACATTTTTGTAGGAAAACAGTGTGTCTGGTAAACTAGAATTGTTCTGGTATTAAATTATATATACTTATTAAAATGTATTATTGTTTTAAATTTTAGTGCTTCTGATGATAATTTACTTAAAAATGTTGAATTATTTGAAAAACTTTCATTGCGTTTTGGTTCAAGATTTTTGTTTATCAAAGATGTTAGTGGTTCAAGTGAAATATGTTGCTGGAGTTATTTTGGATTGGCAGTTAAAATTGCTGAAATTTGTTGTACATCTATTGTATATGCCACAGATAAAAAACATACTAAGGTATTAAAACAAATTTTAAATACTTTTGTTTAAAATTATTTCAAACGTTAAATCATGTAAAATGCATTTGACATATTTTACCCTTGTCGTTTTTTTCCTAAATTCATAGATTTACATGTTCATTATATCTATATTCTATAATCTTGCTAGCCATAGTCTGACAATTATTCTAATGCATTTTAAGTAATTAATTTTTTCAATTTATATACCAAACAGCAGTTACAAAGAGGTGGAAAACGAAACTAGTTAGTTAATACAACAGTACAAACAAAACAATAATATTATACATATAATTATAAATATAGTAAAAGTATAAAGTATTTTGAACATAGGTCTGTTATAAAAAAAAAAAAATTTTGCCTTCTTTACCTTGTTCACCTTTGCTTATAAATGTAAAATAATGTAATACCACATTTAGAGCAGTAAAAGGGTTAATGCTTTCTGAAATAATTAATGTCTTATGTTGATCAAACTGTATATATATATATATATATATGCATATTTTTTTTTTTTAAATATGAATAGCTATTTACTGTATACCTATAGTGCGTTTCACAATAACTGCGACTCGACACTAACATGCTCCGTGGTATGTTTTCAGTATGGTTTCCAAAACTAGTGCTTAATTAATGCGCTGTAAAATTCCTATAGGGATGTTTTTTATATGCATAATAAAAAATACATCTGCTTACATAAAACAGTGGTATATAAAATAAACATACCCAGCTGATCTAATTATTTGTTTGAAAAACGCGTGCATTTTATTTTCTATCCTAAATTGAAGACCCCTAATTTAAGAAAAAACTGCCACAAAGTGCGGCAGCGTCGAGTTATAGTTGTTAAACACATTACAGTAGAATCCGCTTGAAGAAACAACATAAAGGGGACAAGTTAGCATAGTCCCGAAAGAATGTATTTGTTTAAAGCAATTTAAATTTATTTATTGGGAACAAACCATCAGTTATAAGGGACATATGTATAATTACCTATTTTCTTATCGTATATGTAATTATCTAATTTGTATGTCTCTATACATTTTATAATTTATTTTTATCCATTATTTCTTTTTCTTTTATTAACATGTAGATATTCCTCGAAGATAAGAGTCAACTAGCCTTATAAACTAAAGCTTATTAATGAAATAATTTTGTATGTATACTGTTTCAAAAGAGAACATACCACCGCTTTCGCTATCAGAAACTTGTCTATGGCCTTGACCGGTGCTACCTAATGGGGATGTGCGACGCCAAACAAAAACTGGTGCGAAAGTGGTATGTTCTCTTTTGAAACAGTATACATACAAAATTATTTCATTAATAAGCTTTAGTTTACGTTCTTTCGGGTCTGTGTATTCACATGTTTTTTGTTAATTAGGCTAATCGGGACAGTTGGATATTGGGGATAAATCGGTTACCTACCGATATGTTCTCATTAAGTGGATTCCATAGTATAGTAATATAAAACACTAAAATCATAGCAAATCACAATTTACAAATATATTGGTTTTTAAAATTATTAATAGTTTACAAATAATAATCTTAATTTTAAATATTGTCAAAAATAAAACTTGAATATTATAATAAGAAAATATAAAATCTGGTATAATTATGGTTTTATAAAATAGGGTAGTCTATCAGATTGTTTAAATTCAAAACTAGTATATGACAAAATTAATTAATTAATTTTTGTAGCAAACAATTTAATATAATTTAATAATATAATATCATATTTCTTTAAAACAAACAATTTTTTTTAAAACTACAATTTAAAATTGTAAATTATGCATTTAATGATTTTTACAGTGTTGTTTTTTTCCCGATTACCATATCTATAATGGTGCTTTCTAGTACAAAATATACCACCGTCACTATTAAGCACTGTATAATTTGACCATAAAGAGAAACTTTTGTCTTTAACTAACAAGCTCCACATCCCGTATATCTTAATTTATGATTAACAAATATATTTTATTATCACTCATAACCATAGAATAATATACTAATTATAGTACTAATATTATTATATATTGTATAATTCAGTTTATATAAAACAATTAATTTGACTTAGGTGGACTTTCCAGAAGCACGGATATATGAGGAATGTCTTAATTTAATGCTTTATGAGAATCGTACTGAGCCAGATCATGAACTTATGCAAGCTACTTCATGGCGTGGTGCTGTATCAGGCATGTCTTCAGCCTATGGAAGTGATGACGAAGAAGAAAGAAATCGTATTGTACATAGGAAAAGACTGGTATAGTATACGATATGGAAGAGCATATTGAAAAAAAAAGCTTCAGAAATATGTGTTATATAATATGTTAATGCTATTACTCATACTATCAACATTTTTTTTTTGAAATTATCAAGATGATATTGTATAATGTATTTTAAAATCAGGAATTTTGTTCACATATAAAGACTGCTTATAATTATTTATATTTATTATGAAGTGAATATGTATCAATTTTTATCAAAAATGTAATATATTTAAAAATTAGTAACAATAAGTTCTTTCTATAATTAATTAGTTTATTAGTTTAATATAAAGTATATAAATAACAATTGATTTTAATTAATTTTGATGCATCTATTTTGAATTTAAATATAAATTATAACTTTAAAATGAAAATCTAAAAATATACTGATGTGTTTAAAATAGGATATTTAATATAATATATTATGCATCACCTGTGCAATTTAATATAAATATAATAACACAGTCTTATTTTTAATCAGATATATAAATTTATTATGACTAATATTTCATATTCATTATATACTAATTTAATTAAATTATTTATAATTATATGATAAATAGGAGAACTTAAATAATAACAAGTACTAATAATCGATTAATAATAAATTTACCAATTATTTCTCCGATTTCCTGAAAATCCACCTCCGCTGCCACTAGAAAATCCTCTTCCACCACCACCCCTTCTACCACCTCTAAATGGTCTATCTCCTCCTTCAGCCTTGTCCTTCTCTTGTTTTGCTTCATGTCTTCTAGCCATATCTTGTAATTCCTGAGGTACATTTTGTCCAGATTTTTCCATAACTTCTATAAGTTCTTTGGCTTTACTCCAGTCCCGTCTTGTCATAAGAGTAATTGCAAGACCAGTTTTACCAGCACGTCCTGTCCGGCCTACTCTGTGCACATATTCTTCAATATCTTTGGTAAAATCATAATTTATTACAACTGTAATATCATTAATATCAATACCACGAGAAGCTACATCAGTAGCTATTAAAATAGAAACATCCCCATTACGTAAACTATCCAAAGCCTGTTCACGATCACATTGTTCACGACCACCATGAATGGATTCAACATTATAACCTTTCATGCATAAATCTGATGAAAGCTGATCAACAGTTACTTTACGGTTAACAAATATTATTACCTAATTAAGGATATTAACATTTAATGGCGAGTAGTTAAAAATATAAGATAATCAATTTTAAACATACTTTATCATCTGTAGAACAATTTTTCAAAAAATCATCAAGCCAATTTTCCTTTTCTTCTTCTTCCATTATAAGAATATCTTGTCTAACAGTATTAACAGTTGTCAGGTCTAATGATCCAACCATTACTTGAACAGGGTTGGTAGTATAACTTTTCGCAAGACGTTTAACTCCAGGTGGCCAAGTTGCACTTGTCATAATAGTTTGTCTATCTGGTCTCACCTTAAGTAAGGAAACACGTATTTGAGGTTCAAAACCCAAGTCCAACATACGATCAGCTTCATCAAGTATCAAAAATGTAACATCAGACAAGTCAATAGCACCACTACCAACAAAATCATTAAGGCGACCTGGTGTAGCAATAACGATTTCTACTCCTCCACGTAAATATTCTTTCTGCTTTCCAGAACTAGCACCACCATAAATACTCATGGCTTTAATTCCTTTATAACTATACTTTTTAACCTAAATAACATATTAAACATATTAAATATCATATTCAAACTTATTTTATTATAAAATTATAAGTGATTACCTCGCTTTCAATTTGTAATACTAGTTCTCTAGTTGGTGCCAACACTAATATAGATGGTCCTTTACGTTCATTACGAGGAGTTGGTTGAAAATCTATATGAATGAAGGCAGGTAGCAAAAATGCCAAAGTTTTACCCGTTCCAGTTTGAGCTATAGCTATCAAATCATGGCCACTCATGATAACTGGCCAAGCCTGACATTGCACTGGTGATGGTGTTTCAAATTTTTGTTTTTTTATTTCTTTTAGTATATCTGGATAGTCTTTAAATGCATGGTTAAATGACAATATTGGTTTAGGAATTGGTTTAACATTATCTTCATCAATGTATTTAACCATTATATTATTCTTAGATAACCTGAAATCTTCTACTTCTTGGTCACTCATCATAGTGACTTCTGGATGTTCTTTATAAAAATTCTTAATAATGGATGGCAAAGCAGCCAATTTCTTCTTAATGTTTTCAGCTTGTTCTTTCATTAACTGTTCCCAATCAAAATTAGATATTGATTGAATGTTTTCCTGCTTTAATACTTGTTGATCAGCTAGTAATTTTTGTCTCATTTTTTCTGGATCATTAGAGTCAATTATTTCGTTAATGAGTTTATGAGCAATTTTTTTAGCTTTTGCATCACCTGATATTTTTACAGTTTTTAATCCATAAGTATTACCATCAATAATTGAAATAAAAGCACCACTTTCTTTCTTCAAGCCTTTAATTTTTATACCACCTTTTCCAATGATGGTACCTGCCAAACGGGAATCGATTTCTATGATTAAATCATCTACATTTATTGATGGGGTTTTAGAATAAGTTTGCTGAAATTGTTGAGGTGGAGGTTGATATGAGACAACCGCTGGCGAATCCCAGGTATCCCAGTTTTCGTCTTGATTCATTTTTATTAATTTTAAGAAAAATAAACACGTGACAAATTAGTAAACGGAACGAGAGTTATTCAAAATTGCAACAGAAACTAAACAATTAAACAAGCATCATGGTTGAAACTCGTATTTTAATAATTCATATCAATACCGATTACCGGCTATGAAGGAGGGGCATTATGCGGCATGCTATATAAACAGTGTTAGTAACTATGCATTTAAAAAATGACTATCCTTTGTAATATATGGACATTTAGACATTACTACCTTTTCTAGGAATGTGGGACTCGGACAGTTGATTAGAAGGTATACAAATAATTATATTAAATAATATTATAAATGCTAATATATTATATGATTAATATAATATCTGATATTGCCTGTAAGTAATTAAATGCTTCCAATGTGCAATAACCCTTATGAGCATTATTAAAGACAACAATAGTAAATAGAAATCAAAATATTCATTTAATTTATAATTACAGCAAATTATTTTTCTTTTAGTCTTACGTAAAATCACGAATTACGATTAAAATTTTAAATTTTATTATCATAAATCATGCGTACAATTTACGTTACATCCCTTTTTCACAATGACACTGGTGTTTTAAAAATTTGGCGGTATTTCATTCCTAATTATAAGTATGTACCTAAGCGTATAGCATGTATGTCGTACCTTGTACATTATAGGTAGCTACTGTTTTTACATATCCCCTAGTTTAGCCGCAGATATTATAATTATGTATTCTCTCCACACAAAATAAAGTCCACAATAGAATACAGCCTTTATTTTAATAATAGGTATACGTATATCCTTTGAAAAATATTTTTTTTCTCATCTTACAAAGTTTTTGCAGAATAATATTTACGTCATTTATAGACCCTTTTTCTAAGTAGAAATTTAACATGAAATATTAAAATTCGTTTTTAAATTTTGGTAATCTTAATATTATATGCAGATATGTGGAGGTAAGTAAGTTAGCCGCACTTCAATATTTTCATATCAAATTTTGCCAACATTTTGTAAGTTATTTGTAAGTATTTATAAGCATAAATTTAAAATTTGTAAGTCTAGCCGTTTTTAATTATCCACTAAAATTTATTCTAACTTCCGCGAAACTCGGTCGTTTTATAATTTCTAAATTTTTGACCACACTGAAATGTTTTACATTATTTTTAAGTATTTTTAATCACAAATCTATAATTTGTAAGTTATCCCTTCTTGAGTTATTTCTGAAAAAGAAGTTAGCCGTGATTTGTATGGCTTTTTGAATTTCAACATAACCAAAATAATTTAATTTAAACATAATATGTTCATGATCAGTGGCGTATGCAGGGATAGGGTTCTAGGGTTTTAAACCTCCCACCTTGAAATTTCTTCCTCCTCATATTTTTTTTTATGTTTTAGTATTAATAATTTGTATGTTTAATATTGGTACAGTTAAAAAATATCTGTGATAATTTTGGGCTAGGTTACCTAGCCTAGGTATAAGTACGTATCACAGTTATCTAAATGTGTAGATAACCGAAGTACGTAAAGATATAATAGAAAGTTATGTTTTATTTGTGAAATACCTATATCTATAATCTATGCCTTTATGGAACATGGATATATTATTTTTAAGTATACCATATCGTATTCCATGGTTATCGTATTACCATACGTAATCATATTGTAGTAATGCGATGATTGAAGGTATGTTTATTGTAAGTTTAAATAAATATAAAATTGTTTTTGTTTAACTTTTAAAACTATGCATACTGTTAAGTTATTTTAAAATTTGGATTTATGGTATATATTTTATTACTAAAACTTTTTTTTTTATTATTAAAATTATTTTATAATTATCAAATTAAGTACCAACAAGATGTTAAGAGTTAAGACAATCATAAAAATAGAAATTTGGAAAAACTATTTTGTATTCTAATGTTGGTATTATTTACTAGTTTAGTCATAGAGGGGGAGTTTGTGGGATGCGAAGCCACCCACGGGCTTAAGATAAATTTATAATGAAAACCCTAACAGAACTAAAATCGTGTGTACCTATGTTGCTATTCATGATGAAAACAAAATAAGTCAAAGCAATTGGTCTGTAATTGTTGCATAACTTTATATCACCATTTTTAAATATTAGAGATAATTAGAGATTTTTTTTAAATATATTAGGGAACATTTCAGATGAAAAACCAATAAAGGGAATGCTGTAACATTACATATATTTCTAAGAACTTTATTAGTAATTCAATTTTTATTATAGTTGGTATTTTTTTTAATATTCTTAAGAAAATGAATTATTTCAATTTCAGTAACAAGGGACCAAAAAATAGACTTGTGGCAATGCCCAGTTAATACTGGTCCAATCTAATTTCAAAAACCCATTTTTTTTTTTTATTCTCAAAAATATTAATACCTATAAATACCCCAGCAAAGTATTTTTCTCGTAATTCACAAACATCGAAAAATATTCTAAGTGCAATTTAATTTCACAAACAAAAATATAAAATTCCAAAAATATTTTATAAAACAAAGTGACGCGAAGTTCCTCATTTGATCGTGGTGAACTCGTCTGATTAGATAATTCAGACGGCGTTATATATGCTAATGCCGTGCCCCCGAAATCCGTTATTCATAGCCGCTATCTATATTTTATTGCTGAATATTGTCGGATTCTGACGAAGGCCAAAACGTATATAACCAAAATTACATATGAAATGATATTATATTAATATTTTAACATTTTTATATTATGTTACGACTAAGGCCCATAACGATATTTTTATTTGTTTAGAATACTGGTGAGGCAGGCCCATGTGCTGAAATTTTATTTCGGCGCTGTATACTTTACAAGCTTACTGTGTTGGAAGGGTATTCGGTTTCATGTATAGTGAATATTACCATATACGGTTCGCACGCGTTTCTTTTTTTTTGTAAAATATACTATAACTTATTGTAAAATATATTATTTGATCTGTATTTTGTCATATCTTAAATCGTGACAATAAAATTAAAGTCGCCAGAAACGATTATATATAAAGGATCTATCATCTAATAATTATGTTACCGATGTGTCGTAGAAATGTATCGACGCGTAAAATTAAAAACGGTAAGATAAAATATTATTATCGATGCTCACCAAGAATATATTGTATTATACACATAAAAAATAAACTATTTTTTTATAGTCAGTGATACAAGTATATGGAGATTATCATTATTAACGAAAATATTATTTCACTGTACGGTCATGTAGGTATTACGGCGGCAGTAGATGGTGTGGCGGCGCGCACACCCGTGTTTGTGTGTGTGTGTGTGTACACCCATATAGTTTTATATGCTATTTTGCTTTGATAAGCTCACATGGACGACTATGAGTTGATTTCCAATTGTCGAATTGATCCCTGGGTCAAATAATTTTATTCGGAAACCAGTGCTTCCACGATTTCGTATTCTTCTGCTTGCTCGTCCATGTCGAGAACGGCGATCTTTTCCATATGTTATAAAGCTTTTACTGCTCCTGGATCCTCAATAGCCTTGGATATTGCATCAACTAACCATTTTGAGTCCTGTGACTCACACTGTAGTTCAACCAGCAGATCTCCTGTTTGGGTTTTCCTTATGTTCTGGACATTCCCTAATGCTGATTTCACGTCTGATCCCGTTTTTAGCTTCGGCAGGACCTCAATGTTTGAGCTGTTGTCCACCTTCACTAGAATTGCTGGGGGCCGTTTTATTTCTCTCTTCACCATAGCCCTGGCCTTTGTTGTCGCTGCTCCACTTGGTCCGCGCCTTTTTACCACCTGCCACTCCAAGGTTTCCTCAGTATGCGTGGTTCCGACAACGCTACCGATTTTATACGCTTCCTGTATTTGTTTATTGTTCTTCTTATCGTCACTTGATCTACCTTACTCGGTTTCTACTCAGCTTCTCTGCTGTAGGGAATGTCTTTCTGGTCATTGCTTGAGCAGAATTTGCCTGAACAAAAGCTGATTTTGCCATACCTATGTAATTATTTTAACACAATATGATAATTATATATGACAATATGACAAATATTGTTAGCAAAGCAACACTATCCACCGAACTCTGTTTAGAATCATTTTTTCGTTAGTAATGGCTTATCGTTGCTTACAGATATACATTGAATATCCCCTCTAATACCTTTCAACGTTTTACTTATAACAGTAGCTGAACCCATCCCCATCCTAGGACAGCTTTTAAGTTTACATTCTATTAATGGCATAATTTTTTATAATTTTTAATCTGCTTGCAAAGTAGATAATGAGCATTATGATAATACATTATAAGGATTCACCTCCAAATAGTAAAAATAAAAAATGGAACACAAATTATTGAATACAAAACTGCGAAAATCATTTAATTAAAAAAATAAATAATGAATAAAAAATTATAGACAAATATATAAAAATTAAGATTAAAAAATACTACACAAATTATTATTTTTGTCGTACGTATTTACTAATTTTTGAATCCGTTCAGTCGAATCCCTGTACTTCTTTTTTTTATTTTAAATTATTCATTCCAGATCGAGACTACTCATATTTAATTTCCTCTAAATTCTGTTGTCTTAGCATTCAATACATTTATGTTATTTATATTATACTGCTCGTAATTCCATTCGTAATCAAGAATTGGATCATAAAATATTTCACAAAGAAAAAATTCTTAAAATGTTTCCTTACATAATATTATAATACGAGTACATTATACCTTCGGGGCGTGTAAAATATTTAATAGACGAAAGCTGAAAAAAAATCATGAAATGTTTGTACAAAACTTAAAATGATGGATTTTTCGCTCATATTTGTATTCACTCAATTTGTTTTCTATCTTTTTCTTTTGTGTATTTAAGTTCACTTTTTTGCTTTTATTCTATTGTCAGGAACCCATTACAATTTACAAGAAGCATCATTATCAAACATGCCATATAAAATAAGATTATGGAAATACATGGCCAACTAACTAATCCATTAAAATTATGACTCATACAATGGAAATACAAAGAAAAATTGGTGGATCCATATGCTAAGTTTAGTAATTTAATTTACAACAAAACTTTAATTTTAATAAAAGACAAATTGATAACTCTAATTTGAAAAGATCTCAAACATTACCTATCAAATACCAAGACCTCACCGAAGTCTAATAATTGACATAGCAAATTTAAATAGTTTTATTTATTATTATAAAAATTAACAAAATGAAAATGTGTCAATAATTGAAAATCAGTTTACATTTAATCAAAAGTATATGTATCATACAATTTTGGAGAATATGAATTCCCAAACGGTAGTTTATATTTTTTGGATGGCACAGGTGGCACAGGAAAAACATAATTATTATGTACTATATTTGATTAAAAATGAAAAATTAGAGCTTCAATTTAAAATTAAAGGCTGGAATATAAAAAAAAGTTAATATATTAACGAATCTGTAAAAGTTACAGATACAAAATTGGTACTTACAGGTCCAGTAACCAAGAGAACACAGACCCGTTAACGCTAATGAGCGTTCAAGCCACACCCAATTTCTTTTAACGGGCCAGTAGTGGGTTAAAGACTCTGTAAATCTCTAATGAACGTTTATGCAATCCAGCTTATCTTTATTCTTTATACTATCTATCTTTCTTGACTAGTGAACTTCACAGATATATAGAATAATTATAAAGAATTATTTATTTTATTTATCTGTGGTAAACTCAGAAAAATGGAAAACGTGAATGGGGGGGGGGAATTCGTCTATAGCTGCAGCCATAAAAAAATAATAGTAGGCTATGAACGCTAATGGTTAATAGATCTACATGGCAATTGGTAGTACAGTGGCGCCAGATACAGTTTTACTAGAGAAAATAACCTGTTATCGATTACACAACAGGTTGTTACAAGAATTTTTAGTAAATAGTAAATATGAAACTGGTTGCTTACCAACAACTAACAAGCTACTTACTATCACTTTACCCTTGTTTAGTATTATTTTAATTAATAATTAATTCAAATTATTACTGTGTTAATAAATATAATTTGTTTAATACATTTTCCCATTTATACCTTTGTGCATTGAATACATCTATCCAAAACATAACTATTAAATTATCAAATTTATGTCAGGTTTGTTAGTTTACATTAGTAAAAAAATAACCTACTTTCTAATAATTTCTCTTTTCAAATTTACCTACATAATTTATATTTATATTTATATATTTTGAATATAATATTATTATGATGAATTGTTTCTTTGTTTGTGTTTTAGACATATGCAGTGTAGATAATAACATGGTTCACAATATTTATGTCTAACATGTTTAATCGTACATAGATGTTTTATCATGTCTTGTGTTAGTGGATTACAAAAAAATTACAATGGCCAAAATTCTGCAATCAGCCAAAAACCAAATGTTGTGATACCCCCCAAGTATCAACCACCACCAAGTCCTAATCATCCATATAATGTGCAATTGAGCAATTATCATCCATCTAATATTGATAGGTAAAACATTTTATTTTTTATTGCACATTTTTAAGAAATATTATAATTTAAATGATAATTTTAAATATTATTAGAAAACAACAGGGTGAAAAGCCATATGCTAATACTACTGATAATAATAGATATAGGACTTTGCCAGGAGAGCAAACATCGGATATGTTGAAGTTTGTACGGAAAATAGATTCGGACAATACCAATAAAATATCTTCAGATCAGGTTAATTGGTGGTATTTAAATAATTAAGAAATTCAAAGTGTAAATTTATTGGTTTTTGAAGGTAGGGCAGTTAATGGGAGAAATCAATAATTTAAAAGAAATGAATCAAAGACTGAATGATGAAAATCAAGAATTACGAGATTTATGTTGTTTTTTGGATGATGATAGACAGAAAGGACGAAAACTTGCAAGAGAATGGCAAAGATTTGGGAGATATACTGCTTCTGTAATGAGACAAGAAGTTGCTGCATATCAGGTGAAATTGAGGCATCTTGAAGCCAAACAACAACATCTTATTGAAGACAACATGGAACTTAAGGTTTTTACTTAATTCAAAAATTATCAATAAAAATACTTTCAATAATTTAATTTGATAAATACAAACAAAATTAAAATATATTTTTTTTCTTTAGGAATTATGTTTGTACCTAGATGAAGAACGATGTGGTCCGAATAGATTAAGAGATAATTCTGTATGTAGAATTTGTGGAAATTCTACTGGTTCTGGAAATTTACCTGAAGAACTACATAGAAGAGATGAAGGGGATGGAAGTAGCTCTTCAACAAATGCTGATGAAAATATGATAACCGGTAATCAGAGTCAAGATTTATATCATAGACAGTTGCATCAAACAAATGGTTAGCAAAGTTAACTTAGGTTATATTACTTTTGGGTCAAATAAATATTTTATAATTTTTAAAAATTCAAATTAAACTAATAATTGGTACTTAATTAAATAGGTATTAATGTTTTATTTTATTTTATTTATGAGGTTCAATTAAAAATACAGGTTAAAGGTATGATAATAAAAAAAAATAATAATAATATACAATACAATTTAATTTAATAAAAAGAGAACGAGTGACAGAACACTGAGGCATTAATAAGGAAGTTGGAAAGATGATGAGGGATATGAAAAGGAACAAAGGAACAGGTATTGCATGGAAGAATTTTGATATTTACTTCAATAAAGATTAATAATCAATTTGATAGGACATAAATTTGTAGAGGATCAAAGGTTCACCAAATAATTCTAATCAGCTCAAGAAGTCTTAACGCAATCTGGGCAGGGAATGTTGTGCCTGAATGTCTTGATTATGTAACTGGGGAAGAGTTTCAGAGATATAAACTGTACCCCAGGATAATATTATGATTAAGGGTATAGTAAAGGAATTTGAGTGAGACAAGGAAGCAAAAATCTTTGAAGATGTGATTTATGAAACTAAGTAGCATGAGAAATTTACAGTAAGACTTTGTTGTGTAACAAAGGACAAAGGTCTTTAGTGATTGTTAATCCAAGGTCACATACAGTTACTAGTGGGTTGATGGGAACATTATTATTAATACATTATGTCAGCATTTGTCAACATGGGGGCCGTGAACTCTTAGATGAAGAATCACATAGGTCAGAAATAATTAAATACTTATTTAGTAAAACAACCATTTATTTACATTAAAAATAAAAAATTAATACATAATTAGAAAAATAAATAATAATCCTTGAATTATACGAGTAAATTATTTTTTTTATCTTGCTGATAGGTGATGGTGTAGAGCAGCGGTTCTTAAACTTTTTATTACGCGGACCTCTGATGAAGGACATTTTTAAATCGCGGACCACCTTATTAATTTTCTTAGGAATTACCATTTTTTTATTAAAAAATATTTCATGTTACAATAAAAATATAATAAGTATAAAAAATATTTTGTTAATTATTTTTGTTATATTTAATATTATTACATTAACATTTTGTCTTACATAGAAAATTAATTATTGTTCTACTTTTATGATATTTTTTTCGTACATGGTGTCTTCTTATTATCAACCGTAGAATTATTCCTCTTTAAATTTAACCAGCTATCCATTTTTTCTTAAAAAAATTTGAATTTTAAAAATATATCACGTAAAATTCGTAAAATATGTAGGTATACAACTAATTAAATACAATCGATAAGTATACGGTGATGGTGAGTAAACGACTGGACGTTTGAGTGCTGTAAATTTCGTTTGTAATATAAACTAATAGATAAATGATAATTCTAAATATAATTTAAAATTCCATGTTACGCCGATATGGGTAATTAAGATTAGAATATTCGAGGATTAACTTTTCTAAAGTTGCGATAATACGCGTTCAATACTTGTATAATAATATAAAATATAAAATATAAAATTTTACATTTCTAACAATATCATTATTACACACACATGCTGTCCACAGCTGAAATCATTTATAGTGTCGCGGACCCCCGGCAAGAGTGTCGTGAACCACAGTTTAAGAATTGCTGCTAAATGAATAACGGAAAAAAAAAAAAAATGTTAATAATAATTAAAAAAATATATATAGTTGCATATATATTTAAGCAAAAAGAAGTGTGATCACTGGATGGTTTCTTCTCTCATCCTATTCATGTTTATTTTTAATATAATGTAGCACATATTCTTATTATGCCTTTGGGTATAGATTGTATATTCTCTAATAAAATGTTAAAAAAAAAAAATCTTGCTGATAGATGTTGATTATCCACTAAATTAATGGCTTTTCTGACCGATTTATAAATATACACTCAAAATATTCTCATATACTATTAATTTGTTTCATTAATAGTTAATGATTTTATACAGCGATTTAAATCTATTAATATTTGCGTACCATTTACACATTTTGAAATTTGTCACAAAAATTTTACACAAAAGTAAAATTAAATAATAACTTTTTTTTACTTATCAAAAAATGTTTTCTCATACCATCGGTTGATACCGCTAATATATATTTTGTAAGTGGTAAAATAGATAAAAGCTTAAATTAGCTTTTATTATAAGAGGATCATGAGGATTTTTTTATACCTATTTTGGGAGTCATGACTAGAAAGGTTGAGAAATGATGCAGTAGATGAAAGGAATAGATTATTGAAGTCTGGTAAAAAGCTTCTTTTGAATCTAAACCAAATTAAACTTAAATTATATTTTATTAGAAAAAAAACTACATGGACTTCTAATGTGGAATCTACAACACTCCTGGATTGGGTTGAAATTAAAAATAGATTGATTTATAATTTTAATCCATAATTTTTATGTATTTGTACAGATCAACATATATTACCAGATCAGAGATCTTTCAATTATATTAGACAACTCGAAGCCAAGGTTAAAGAGTTAGAAGAAGAAAAAAATAAATTATCTAAAACAATCATTCAAGAAGAGCAGATTGACCAAAAGATTAATAACTGGAACGCTGATAATTCTTTTCCAGTAAGTTGTTTTTCCATTGTAGTTTGTTGTGTTGTAGCAAGGATCAATGTTGTAGCTTTGTCTTCAAATTTGTATTATATTTCTTAGTTATAAATATGTTATGTGCCCACATGCTACTATAGGTATACGCGTGTGAACCCATAGTAAATGGTTAAATTGTGTACGTGCCAAATTATTCAAAAAGAGAACAACCAAAACCGGGGGCTAAGGAATCAATCAGAATAATAAATATACATTTAGAATACAATAAATATACCAAGAGCACGGTTAGGCCTTAAACAACGGTCGTAAATTAAACACATAATTTTTAAAACAAAATGCATAAAACTCATTAAACCTTTAATTAATTAAAGAATCTAAGAATTACTTAGATAATTTATTCCCAGAAAATATAAAACATGTGTAATAATGAAATAATGTATATAGCCATTACTATGAATGACGGGTTACGAGGGTCTCCGAACATATATAACACTGCCCAAAACATTGTCTAATCAGACAAGTCCACCACAATCAAATGCGAGCAACTTCACGTCACTCTTATGATTATTTTTGTGAATTTAATATAATTGGGCTTGTAATATTTTTGTCTGGAAATATCAATTATACGTGAACTCAAGTTGGAGTTTAATTTATTTCAATATTTTTTCTCCTAATCCTATTTCTACGTTGGGCCCGTTACAAATGTTATGATGGATTTATTACTTATTTTCTATACAAATCCTTTCTATGACTATTATCCCCATTAATAAATAATCTTTTATTATTGTGAGTTTGTTTTTAAAATAAATGATTTAACAATACATAATTATAAATGAAGTTAATAATAGTGTCTATAATTAGCAACTTCTTTTTTTTAATTGGTTAGGTTTACCTCATCACTAAACAAACAGCCATCTAATTCTATCTTATACTATTTTTTGCCAATGACTATCTTTGTTCCACTGTCTCTCCTCTCTTTTTATGTAATCTCATCTTAACCATGGTCTCTCAAGATTTCTCTTCCCTACTTTTATTATCAGTGAATCGTACTACCTCTCTAGGCATGTCCTGCCCAAACCACGAATGTATTTTACAATGTTTATTAATTTTTTTTTCTGTGGCAACTCTTTTACAATCAATTTTTCTCAAATTTACAATGATAGTAATTTTTCTAAAAGGAAATCTGACTGGGGCGGTACTTTAAGGAGGTCATTTTTTGATTTTCCCAAGAGTTTTCTTAATGAACTAGAAAAATGAGAAAATATATAATGCATTTGTAATTATTTTACCATAGTATTACTTGTATATTGTTGACAAAGCAACACTATTAACTGAACTTTGCTCAGAATTGTTTTTTCGTTAGCAATGATTAATCGTTGCCTACAGATAAACATTAAATTTCCCCTTTATATTACCAACTCACAAACAAAGTATGCTGTCTTTTTAAAATTTCTTTCAGTATATTTGTTTACTGAAGAAGATGGTAGTATAGTTTTCGTTTTTTATTTTTCTGAGCATTAAAGTAATTATTCATTTTTTTAAACACTTGGCTCAAACACTTCCATGTACTGCTACCCACATATTCTCCGATTTTTTTCTTTAATTTCGAGCTGTAGTTTTACAGCAGCTCTTAATGTATGTAATTTAATATATAATAAATGATTTTAATTATAATATATATTAATTGGCATCTAAACTAGATATTTTATACAATGCCAAAATATAATATAGTGTGCAGTACAGATAATTTTGAAATCTAATGTAATGTAAATTATTTTATTTTATACAATTTCTATAATAATGTATATAGTTATTAAATTGACTTTAGAATTTTATTCTCATTTTCTGTTTTCTGTATAGATGTTATAATACTTGGAACCTAATGGCTACTGTACAAATTTGACAAATCAGATTACTTTACAGATTAAAGTGGGATGTATGTTTTAGAAAATTAAAATATTAAATTATTTTATTTTTTTTTTAGTAATAATTTATACGTAACAAATGTGAACTCTAGGAACAGCTATGAACATTTTAAGTTTTAAATTTAGACTAACCATACTATATTTTTAAAATCATCAACATTGTAGTCATCTTAAAATGATTACATAAAATAATTTTCACTTATAAATATATAGATTGTATTAATAATAATATATTATAATTGAACTATAATTTATTCATTATAAATAATATATATAAATGTATATTATTATTATAGAAAATGAGACATCAAGAATCTGTTTTAACTGCTCTTCAAGTATTAGAGCTACGTGAACAATTGGAAGGCAAAAGAGATGAGAGCAATAATGTTGTGGACATGGAAGATGAGGAAAAAGCATTACTTAGAGAAATGTGCAATGTAATGAATAATATCATGTATACTTCTAAAAAATAATATAATAATGTAATGAAATTAAAATTTTAGGTGGTATGGCGAAAACTTGAAGATGCTCAATAATTTGCAAAACATTCGATCTAATTGCATTAATATTTAAAGAGCAATGATAATATTAATGATAAAAAATGAATTCAATATTTAGTAAAATATTATATATAATTTGCTTAGGCTTTTTTTAGGAGGGGACCTCTCTATTTGTGTAAATACATTTAAATATATTTTATAAGTGTTTATTAATATATAAAAATAAATTACATCAATCATAATATTTTGTCAGAAAAATTAACATTTCTTCCACCTAGTAAATTGACTATTTATTTATACAATAAGTATTTATCTTGGTGATACTTGTATATTCCACACAGTACATAATTTGCACCTCAGATAGCATCAAAATTTGACTATGGTCAATTTAAATTTAGTTTAAATCCACTTTTTTATGTAAACAGGATAATTAACTAAGTGTGCTCACCTCATTTTTTTTAGTTAATATTACATGTATTCAAATTCTGATTTTTAGAATTTTTAAGTGGTGTAGTGAAAGCAGATATTTTTGAATTCTTAGATTTTTCAAAACATTCAATAGGTATCTTGTGGCGATATCAACTTTGGTTTTTTAAATGAGAACCTAAATCTCATCAACCCGTTAATGGAAATCAAAAATATACACCTAAATTTAATTTAATTAATTAATTTTATATATTTAATACACCGCCTATTTACATATTTTTAACGTTGGTTCTCATTTGAAAAACCAAAAGTAGTATAGCTGGATACTCTTTAAATGTTGTGTAAAATCTAAGTATTCAAAAATATTGGCTTTAACTACACTTAAAATTCCGAAAATTAGAATTTGAATATAAGCAAAATTTAACCAAAAACGGGATAAACACACTTAGTGAATCACTTTATACATACACAGGTGTCCCACAGAGATTGTTCTGTTCAATATTCTTCAATATTTTTTTTTTCTTGTAATAATCAATAGTTTATAGCATTATGATTATTATAGTTTTTAAAATTAAAAATTATTTAAATTTTTTTAATAAATCAAAGTCCCATTTTAGAAAATTATTTTTAAACAACATTTTAGTGTTGGAAATGTTAATTAATAAGTCCTTAATTTAATATAATTTTTTGAAGTTCATAAAAAATATACAAATTATGTTTGTTGCTACTACTAAATAATAATTAAATTAATAAATAATTAATATTATTTAGTAGTGGCCATGAAAACAATTAAAAAAAATTATAGAAAATTAAAAACTCATCACTGTTAAATATTTGTAACATCAATGTTATTTCAAGATAAATGTATCAAATGGTTTAATTTTATAAAAAGAATAAATTGATTTTAGTTTGAATACAAAAAAAAAAAAACAACTAAGAACCATAGTATAAGTCTCTAGAAGTTATTTAAAGAAAAAAAGGTTAACAATTTGTCAGATCTCTGTGGGACGCTTGTATGTATTGTAAAACATATATTTTTTTTCAATTCAAATTTAATGACATATATAATGTACTATAGGCAATATATATATTGAACAAACATCGAGTATGCAAATTACTTATTAAATTTGGGTAATTTAAAAAAAATATTATTAATAAAAACAATATTTAAAACCTTTTTTTAATCTTGCATTAGGCTTACTCAAACAAGCATAATTAATTTAGATTCTCAATAATTATCGTATTTATAACTTATAAGCAACAAGGCAAAACCATGTAACTTAAAATCTAAATTGTGGTGTTGCTAAAACCTATATAAGTTGAAATGTAAGTGTTAAAATACAGGAAACAAAATTTATTAAAAAAAAAATGAAATATTTTTGAGGGCACCACTTTGCTTAAAGATGATGTATTATAATTTTAAAATGTTTTATTCTCCTATTAATTTTAATTTGTTTGGAATATTATAAAATATAATTAATAATATAATTTTATAATGTATTCATTTTTAATTTAATATATATATATATATTTTTATTTTTTTATCATTGTATTTAAAAGTATCTATCAAAAATTTAAATGGTCAAATATTTTATTATTTTGTTGTTTCTTGCCATTTTAAATTTTAAAACTGTTTGTAAAAACAATTTGATTATAAAATATTTAATAGTATATTGTATTGAAATATAATTGTAATTTCCAAATTGTTTTTCATATTTGTTGTATTTTATCACAATTTATTTATTTTCTACATTTACAATTTTAATTAATAAAACAGTAAAATATATCGATAATGTGTGATATTCATGAATATCAGTTATCACACAAATATCAAAATAATCATATTTTGGTGTTCTGGAATTCGCTTTTGATAATTTACCTTGGCACACAATTTAAGACAAGACATTTAAATCGTGCCCAGGCATGAAGTGAATTCGATTATCACGGTTATTTCATCATGCTGTAATGTATGTAAATAGGTAAAATATACATACATCACTAAAAAACATTGTATTTTTTTTAGTGCCTACTTAATTACAGATTTAGTAAGATGTATTATAAAAATCTGAAAAAAATCGATTAACAACCTCTCTAAAGTACCTCCCCAGTAAAATCTCAGTGAAATACACCAGTCCCAATTATCTTTGGCCAAATTGATTTTTGTATAAAGTTATGTTAAATTTTTTAAAAAACAAGACTTATACCTAGATATTTAGTTTTTGTATAATTGTCAATTGATGATTAATAATTTATTTTATTATAAATGTATTAACAATGCAAGGTATTAATTATTCTTTTTTTTTACATATTATATATTATATATTAATAAATAAATAATAGGTGAGGGTGTATTTTCTAATAACTGATAAAAACGAAATAAATTTAAATCAGATTCATCAACCTTGAAACCTTAAAATCCCATAAACTAATACAATAATTTATGTATTCATCAATACATTCATATCAGACTTAAAAATACAATATTTTACCTAATGTGTTATCAATCTTATTATCGTATATTTGTATTATTCAATTTTCATTTTATTATTGAATGAATAGATGGAAGAAAAACTAAAGATCTATAGTATGTTTATCTATGTATCTAATATTTGATAGAAATAATTATTTAAATTGATAGATTGAAGTAAAAATTCAATAATTTCATGTTAGGGTGTTGCAACCTAAAAAATATGAGGACATTAGCTAAACTATGAAGTGTGCCTGAGCACACCAAAAAAATTATTACCCTAGGCATTTCTAAAGGTTCCTTCAAACATATTAGGTGTTTAGTTTACAAGTATTTTTTGTGACTTGAATCCTGAATTATTCAGACTTGTATATAGTGTATTATTGTCAATGTAAATTAAGTAATGATTTGTCCTGATTTAAATTTATAATACCTCATGTTGATTTTTACTTGATCTAAAGCATATAACCTAAAATTAAATGTAATCGTTTATTTTTAAAATTAACAAATCAACAGTTTTTATTAAAAAATATCTTTGTTTGATCCACTTCCAAACAAAATAGATTTTCAATTAAAAATAGTTTCTCTAAAATAATAATTTGTAAAATTAATGTAGGATATTACTATAGCACTTGACCAATTTTTTTTCATGTGTGGTACATAAAAAACATAAACACACAATATTAATTACATATTATAGACATATATACACTAAGGTAGTCCGTATTTATAAGTAAAGAAAAATCAATCATTTGAGAGAACTGTATTGACTAAATTTAAAATAATAAGGGCTACCCTTATACAATTGTTTATCAATAAATAAGAGACAATTCTGTAATTATGTAAATTATTAATTATTAATTCAATTCACAAATATGAGTATAACATAATAATATTAGCTACCTCCCATGATGCCCATGCACAGTATTGAATGATAAAAATATTTGGAAACTAAGAACAAAATTATAATATGACATCCCGTTTATTACACGCAGTTGGAAACTGTGAGTCTAAGTATTATTTTTGTAAATACAGTATGTTTAAAAAATTTAAATAATAGAAACTTAATAATTAAAAAAAATATAACATATTAAACCATATTATAAGACACAACCATATTTAATCGAAAAGAAACAGTTTTTCATCATTATCTAGAATATAAATGGGAATTATATGATTGAAGAGATCTACAGTGCACCAACTAGGGCCGAAATCAAAAAAAAAGTATATTGTCATTTATTAATTGTAGCAAGATTTATAAAAGAAAGTTGTTAATAGGTTAAAAAACATATATATAAGCACACAACATAGAAAAGCCAATACATTCCCCACGGTGAGAATCTAAAATAAGTACACAACATAGTATAAAATCAATTCATTCTTTGCTTCACTCATAATCTAAAATAACTACAAACCTCCCTCAATAAATATAGATTATATAGTTTTGAATCAATAAATTACAGTCAGACATATAGACAGAGAAATATAATTATGGACAGATACATAGACAGGCATTCATTTTCATATACAAGATAAATTAATGTTTACGTATAAAATCCCAAATATTAGGATGTTTTTCTATTTGATCCAATAATATCAAATGAAAGGATTCTAAATAATTGGTGTGAACATCAGATCTAAAAACATATAAATCATACTATTAACTTATTTATTTTTAATATTCCTATAATCTTATATTAAAATTCTAACCTAGACACTTTTTTGTGCAGCACCTATTTGGATAAACCAATAATTATTTAGCCATATAAAAATTGTTGAAGTTGATCAGAGAAATTATTATATTGTACAATAAAATGTATAATTACTTAAAAGCCATCATACATAGAGCATTGAGTATCATCACAAGGCTGTGCAGGTTAGATGTTATAACATCTAAAACCTGCAAATTCAATTGTAACAATATTTAAAGTTTATTAAAATTAAAATTTACTACACGTAAATTTAATTACTATTCATAACACTCTAGCAGCTATGGGGTTTGATTGAAAAATGGAGTTTATGATTTAGACTCCTTTTGCAGTGTCAGATAATAGACTACATTTTAGGTATGCAAATATTAATATAGTAAATAGTAATACTCACTTGACAGTAATGGAACCAACATCCTTGGAGTTGGCTCTCAGGATATATTGCTCTAACCGAGTTCGTCAAACCAATATCATAATTCGTTATGATAGTAAGCTGATTGAAATTCAACACATAAACAAATGGAAATTACTAGACACAAAATATATTTAATAAGACAAAACTGTACATTGCAAGTATGCAAAATTTAATTTAATATAAACTTACATTTTTAAAAATTAAATGAAATGTCAGTAAATAACCTTTCATGAATTCAGGGAAACATCTAGGAACCGTTTTAAATGTCCCATTCATTCCTGCAAACTATGACAGTTTCAAGTTCTTGTCTGAATTTATATATGGCATCTAAATTTAAAAAAATTACCCCTATAGAGTAGTACCATCGGCTGTTAAAAGATGTTGCTCTAGAAAAAATCTAAATAAAAGTTATATTAAATTATAATTTGATTAGAAATCAAATAACTAAATAAAAATAGCTAATATTGGCAATAAAAATTTAAATAAAATATTGAGATTTTTTATTAATTGTTGAATCAAAATATAGACAATTTGCCCTTGAAGGAGGTCTCTGTAGAGTTGAAATCTAAGACACATTTGTTGGTAGATTTAATAATAGAATTAATTCCTTTAAATTTTCGTAGGTTATCTGGTTGATGGCTGCGATTCATACATATGAACACAGGATTGTGATTGGAGAAAAGTATAATTTGCTGCTTCTTCTCAAATCAGTAGAATATATAATTTATAAAAAAGTAATAATAATTATACATTGCGGTGAACTCATATGATATACAGGTAATTCTATATATTTTTCTTTGTAAGACAGACTGTAGCAGTTACTTACTCTAATTTTTTGGTGTTATATATTTGCCTAGTTGAAGCAGACATTGAACCCAATTTTGTTGCAACTAGACCAATATTTTTCAAAGATTCATCATTGGGATATCCATTGCTGGGGGTAAATGATTGTGAAACCCAATTGAATGTATCTCATTCTCATTTGCTATTTCCCAAGTATTCACTGGCCAAAATTAGGTTTTTTCGATTTTGATACTGAATATATCTAAACAATTCAAAATGATTAGTAATTGCTAGGGAGTGGATGTTTATGCTTTAAAAAACCAAAAATATGCATGCATTTATATGCTATAAAGTATAAAAATATGTTTAAAATTTATTCAAAATGTGAAACAATAAAAATTAAGAAAAACTAAAATGTATTTATAAGAACATTATTTAAATTATTTAACATCAGTTAAATTTTTATTAGAATAAACTTTGTAAATTGTTAATCTGAAACATACAAATACATATATATGTTAAATATGCATTAAAAGTATGATAAATATAAAAATATGAACAAACAAGTATGCAAAATTAAATTGCTAATTTTAGTTAGTTTATTAATGAACAAATTTATATCTCACTCTATATTAATTTAGATATTATAAAACAAATACGTAAACATCTACTCTCTAACAAATAGTGTGTTATTAAGAACAAAAGATCAACACATATTAGATACTCACATTTTATTATTTTGACAAAGACTCTTATATTTGAAATTTAAATTATCCATATATATGATGGAATTTAACCTGACACCAGATAGTGTTACATTTGTAGTTGGTCTCTCATTTACAGGAACTGGAATTTAAATTTATTAAGCATACAAGATTAATAAATTTTACATAAAATGTAATTGGTATTACATTATTATTAATGGTAATAATTATTACCATTAATTATTTTGTCTTCATCATCTACAAGTACAAAATCAATTGGATCGGGAACGATAAATAAACACATTATTTTCTTATATATTATACTATATTTTGATATTTACATACATGCTGGAGTATAATTGTGATCTATGATAAAATCATAGTACTATAGATATATAGTAATAAGTAGGTAAATATTAAATGATATGATTTAAAATTAACGAACTACAAAATAAAAAATAAAAAAAAGTCATAGATATTATAATAAACTACTATTGTAGATAGTAGCAGTGGCTCAAAGAGATAAACAGCACAGCTTAAGATATACACATATATCTTAGTCTGTGATAAACATCACAATAATGATAAGAATGTAATATATACAAAATACATAATGTATTCAGGGTGGAATAGTAAGCATCCTATACAATAAATCCTTATAATTCTTTACTATCTTTATTATTATCGTTTATAAGAAAGGCCCGTGATTTTAGAAGACCGTGGGAAGGCCTATTGATTCTTTATTATCTATGGTATTAACCTTGACAAATTAAATTAAATTTAACCAATATTCTGTCCTTGGGTTAATGTCCTTTGCTGTTATCAAAGATTATATATCTAGTTATTAACTTATTTTTCACTTCATTTTTGTAATTTTTAATCATTGATTACCATTATTAAACTAGTTTTGAATTTCTTGAAAACGGTCTTTGTAATTGAGTTATAATTACCTTTCAAAATGTCTTTACCTCGTGCAGTTATTGGTATGTTGCGCAGCAAAACTATTTATTCTATATCTATTAGAAAAGTGGTATCGCACGAACCATGGAAGCCTGGTCCATATCCAAAAACTGAAGAAGAACGTGTAGCTGCTGCTAAAAAATATGGTTTATTACCAGAAGAATATGAACCCTATCCAGATGATGGTTTAGGTGCTGGTGACTATCCAAAATTACCAGATATTGGACAGGATTCCAAAAGTGAATATTATCCATGGGACTGTCCCGAACATAATAGAAATTTTGGTAAAATGATTTAAATATATTTTAGGATTAAATAATCCTAGGGTATGATGTTTATTTTTTCTTTTTCAGGTGAAATAATGCATCTTCGATCTGATTTGTGGGGGTCAGACAAAGGTGACCCAAATTATAAGGAAAAAGCTAGATTCCCTGACTGGCAAAGAGTGTCTGCACTTTTTATTGCCATTTTTGGATTAGGTGGTTTGATGTACAGTGGTGATTTTTTGTGTAAACGATATGCAAAGTACATGCCTAAACAATGGCCACAAGATGAACTAAAACATTATACTTATTCTGATAAATATTTTTGATTTGTTATTAAAATTATTTGAATCTATGTAGTACTTATTCACATTTAATGAATTTTTAATTTTGTTGTATAGGTAACTAAAAGTTGATGAAATATCACGTACAAGAATAAATAAACTATATGCTAATACATTTATAAACTGTATTATGCATCCCAAACAATGAACTAATAGACTTAGAATTATTTTATAAAACCTAATGTTTACCTATATTTTGATTAGGATTTTGTTATAATTATGTTTTCAATTAAATGAGCTTCATTACTTAAAATCAAGTACACAAATCTTAAATTTAAAATACAATGTGATGTATTTTGTTAAATTGTTGGTTAGTTATAAATCTTAATAATATATAATTATAATAATTTAATATTTTCAATTTGCCATTTTTTTTTTTTGTGTCAGGAACTTTTTATCAAAAATCTTTGATCTATCAAGTGTAGCACCTTTTCTGAAAGAAAATTTTACCTAGTTTGTGCAATAATATATTTTTTTGATTTTCCTAGGAATTTTTTCAACAAATGTGAAAAACGGGAAAATCAGTACATTAAACAAAATATTTAGTGCCTATTTAATTATTTTATCATAATGTGACATGTATATTGTTGACAAATCATCAATATCAATTGAACTACACTCAGAATTGTTTTTTTCATTAGCAATGAATGCACCCGTCCTCATTATCGAGTGTCTTATTGTTGTTGATTTTTGTCGGCCTTTGGTTTATTGAATAAATAAATAATTAAAATACAGTTTGATGTTAATAACAATATTATTTAATATTTACAAATAACTTGTTATTATTTATACTTAATACGTTATTTTATTTTATAATTTTGAAATTTTTTGGATGTCTTAAATCACACGTTAAACAATACCTATTATAGTAAGTAGGTAACAATGTTTTGTTGTCAAGCAGTTTTATGCTAACCTGATTAGTAAGTAGTAGTAACTGCAAGACAAAAATATGTCATGTATCTAAGATACATGATCAAAAACTATATGTAGCATTCACTTAGTGAAATTATTTTCAATTAGTAGATACACAATTATATACATATTGTGTAATACATATATTTATTTTTTTTTAATGCCTGCTAGTTTAATTAAATTTGATTTTATAATTTATGACAAATTAATTTATTATACTTTTAGATTTTGAATGTAGCGAAGAATGTATATGTTTTACAGTGATGTTTATTTTTTTATTATTTCATACTGGGTACAAAGATCGCACTAATGTATACAGTGGCGCAAAAACTATTCTTCATAAGTGGGGGAGCAAAACAAAAAACCTAACAACTATTATATATTTGTTTGTGATTGATAATAGAAAACCTTTCTTCATATTTTATTCTATTAATGTATTGATATAGTTAATATAACATTGAAACAAAACATAAAACATACTTACTTTATACCTAAAGTTTTACTTAAAAGTAACAATATATAAATTTACAATATTGAATATATTATATAATATCAATGTTACTGTAAAATGTTACAAATCATAATTATACACTTAAACTGTATTAAACAACAACGTACTCATTTAATATTCATAATCAGTAATCACTAATCGTAAACTGTAAAAACCTATAAATAGCCTAATGATATTGGAATAGTAAATAATACGGTATGTTGTGAAAACACCATCCAGGACTGGTGGAATTTCTCAATATAATTTGGTAAAACAAAAGCACTCCAACAGAAAATATTTATAAAAATTACTCAATATGTTTATATGTGTTAATATTATAATAATAAATAATAATAATAATATTATTACAAACATTCATGAAAATGAGACAAATTTTGAATACGTAAACTTATAAATTAAACGTAATTTACAATTGTATACTTTGGATTATATCTGAGGGGGTCAATTGCCTCCTCTGCCCCTCTCTCACCGACACTACTGATTGTATACAAATGTAGACCTTTTTCCTCTTTATTATCTTCCCAACCTCTTACCTACAATGTGTAATATTGCCTCGCTTTTTTACTATTAAATACAACTTATGATGTCAAAACAGTTGTATTCAAATAATTAAAATATTTATTAGTATTAGTATTAATACGTAAAATACCAAAAAATACAAATACAAATTTAATTGTATATTTTATTTAAATCTAATTAACAGTAACAAATACAAATAAAAGTTTAAAAGAAATAAAATATAAGATATAACACAGTTTAAATAAAGTTGGTTTGTTGAATTATTATATTTTTAATAAATGTGAGATAAACTATTATTACATTTAAACTAGTGATCAAATCAATGATAAAACCTAAAAAAATAAACATAGGCTTCCTTGAATTTTAAAATTTTTATAATCTATGTTATCCAATGTTTACTCTAATTGTAGACATTAAAAACATAACAATGAACCCATTTTAATTTAATAATAAGAATTATAGTTGTTTAGCTATAATCAGAGTTAAAAAGAATGAAATAATTTTGAAATCTAGATTAAAAGTAGTGTAAATAATGGAAATATGCCTAATATTCTATAATACATTGCACAAAATAAGGTAAAAATGTTAAATTTTTAATAATTACGGTGAGTAAATTAAGTTTTCTAAGTATACTATATCACACTTCCTTGTCGGTCTCATGAATTTGTATAAGAGATTCTGATTGTTCTGCATCACCATCTCTTAGCCTGTAAATAAACATATATATTATTATTAATACAAATATTAACAAATATTGTGTTTATTTTCTTCACCTAATTAAATTTTTTCTCTGGCAACGACTTAGGCAAGTGTATTCATTTTGATTAAAATTATATTGGTGTGTTAACCAAATTAGAGAAAAATAAGATACTGTTGTAGGAACTAAACCTAAATAAAAAGATGGTAACAAAAATCGTTCATGATCAGACTTGTTTTGACTGGAGATAACTTGCAGCATTATAGACATTGGAATAGTTAGTCCTATTGACATTGTCGCTATGATTGATGATGTCAACAAACATCCCCTACCATAAAATAAACATTTAAAATAATTCCATAATGTAACAATTAATATACTTTTTACCATAACCATATTATTTCTGGTAACGTTGCTTTTATGACTCCGTTTATTAATATCGATATCACTTGGTGCTTATTAGGCCACTCGAAGGTTTCAAGTTCGAAATAATGAAGAAAAATAAATAACGGCCAGAACATAAGTACATTAAAAAGACCAACAAGACCTTAAAAAGAAACCTTTTAACTAATAATATGTAATATAATTATATAAAAACAAAATGTAATACATAATACAAATATTACCAAAATACAATGTGATATCTAACTTATCTTCATGATCTACCCAAGATCGTAATGTTACAATATTTAACGCATAAAAAACAGCACCAAATAATGATAAGGTAAATCCAATATTCATTTCACTAAAACTGGAATGAAAATCTGGTAATGTAATTATAACCTGCAAATAACATTATATTTAATAATCAATAAACTAAATATTTTAATAAATTTCTTAGTTTGTTTAAAACATTATAAGTTCGTAACATAATAATAGTATAATTATTATTTTAAATTACAAATAAAAACATACATTAACATTTTAAATATAATATTTCTTATTTTAATCAAACTATTATAGTATTTTTGAATAAAAGCTAGTACACACATTTCCAGTTATACTGAATAATACAGTTATAAGTTTAGCAACCGTAAAACGATCTGCAGAAGGTGTAACAAAACACAAAGATAGGAGAAGAGTGAAAAAGCTAGTCGTAGACATTACAACACACACTAGGGTATGTTCCATATAAACCATAGATACTTGATGTAATAAATTAGCAACACCCCACTGTAAAATAAAAAAATTCAACATTCAATTATTAGTTTAAATTGAATTAACTAATAATGTAATAATTTTGTTTCGTAAAAAAAAAAAACCTAGATTAAATTATCACTAATCTAATAACTAATAGTAAAAATAATATTTATTATTGATTAGATTTTAAAAATGTTATCCCTACACAATAAAACAAAGCTAAAGTAGGAATTAATGTAATAATTTCATTCATTGTATTATTAAATTGAGGTTATTTTACGAGTATAATTTTTTTTAATTAAATAAATGTAATAATTTTTAAATTATAAAAACTAATTAATTAAATCTAAATTTTAAAAATCAAATTTAAAATGTATAGGAGATGAAAAGTTAATTTTTTATAATATTTATTATTAAATGGATATTTAATAAGAAAATCAATAGCACCTAGTTTATTTGTATCATATAACATAAATTAATTCAATTGAACATAATTATTAATTATTGCCTAAGATATATTCTTAAAAATAATTTTATTCTAGTTTGATCATATTTTAATTTAATTTAAGCACTGTTAAAAAAAACAAGGGTTAAATGAGTAGACAATATATATAAATTGAAACATAATTTTGTAAATACAAATAGAGAGTATTTCTTTTATTATGACCCAGTGATTTCTTAGAGTATATAAATTAAATTAAATTTCTATTTTTTCAACCATTATGTAATTATTCAAGTATTATTTTAAATTTTCTTTTCAAATGTTTACCCCTATTCCTTAAGTTAGTATCAACTTTTGCCTTTCAAACAGCAGACTCCTTTTCAAAAACAAATTTGAAAAATAATTTTTTTTCTAAAAATGTTTATATTCATAACACTAACATTTACCATTTATAAATTCTAACAGCTTTGAAATTAGAAAAAAGAAGTAGGGAATAGTAACAAATTGACCATAATAATGTTAATGGGCCATTATAAAAGAATAAACATACACATATACATGTTTATTAATTCTTACAAGTGGTGCTACTGTAAAAGCAAGTTTTGCAGTTTGGTGTAGATTTAGTAACTGTCTTGATAAACGACATATTTCTCTTGCCCGTAATGTAGCAGCATATGATAAACGAGCCATTAATGCTTCCTGAGCTTCTGTTTCTGACAAATGTCTAACCTATAATAATTAATACACAATTTGTCTAATATTTTTGTAGTTAAATAAATACCTAATAGAATACCTAAAAAGAATTTCTTAAAATTCATTCCTAATATTATGCATATATTATTGTCAATATAGGATTATCTCAGATTAATATTTTGATGAAAGATATCCTGGCTAGCTGCATTATTTTAAATGTCTTTATATAGTTTATAGTTCTTGACAGCCATCGGTAGCTATGGATTATAAATATAGTGTTATCCTTATGCTAATAATTCAGTCAACATTCATTTTTTTTTTCAATCGGGTTCTGTGCGAGGGGAAAATGTAGAAAAATTACATTTTTTATTCTAAATAGTCATTTTGTAAAATATATTACTCTACAAATTTTAATATAACATACATTCAAATCCGATCAATAGTCTCATAAGCTGTTTTAATTTCTAGAAAATTGATGTAAAAACAATTAATTTTCACTAGAAAACAAGTTACACAATAAGGAATCACAATCACCATGTTAACTTTATATCTTCTATTAAATATTAATTGTTTTTACGCATATTTCCTACACATTAAAGCCACTATAACTAAAAAATTATTAATCTAATCTGAATGTAAATTACATTAAAATTTTTAAAATATATTTTACAAAATCGCTATATTGAAAATTTTAAAAATAGGAAAAACATTGTTATTTCTTTTATATAGTCAAGCGATGAGAATAAAAATGTAATTATTTTCTACACATGTATTCCCTTCACACAATACCTGATTAAAAGAAAAATGAATATTGACAGAGTTATTAACATAAGGATAACACTGTAGGACACCTATATACCCATATAAGATTGTTTACAATTATGCAAGTTCAACAAGTGACTGTGGCATGTACATTAAGGAAAAGTGAAGTTTTTTTTATCAAATTAAATAGTGTAATGGGCATATCTCAATTTATTCCAATATATGATCTAATGTGTAAACCAAATGTATTAATTACCAATGAATTTTAAGAAATACTCTATACTTTTTCTATTATTTATTTAAAATAATTAATTGTTTAGAAAAACTTTTTTTTTTAAAAACATATAAGACTAATCTATTTCAAAATTATTATTTATTTTAGATATGGTACACAGGAATATGTAAACTACTGAATTAAGATTTCTTTAATAAATTATAATTAGTCATTAATTTATTATGCACTTAATCTAAGTAATATAAGAATTTAAAAATCAAAAACATTTTGCAACTCTTGGTGTTGACAAAATGATCTTTTAATGATTAGATAATTTTCGGAAAAAAAAATTAAAAGACTGTACAAATATTAGCTACGCACATTGAAACAGCGGCTAGTTAACTTTTTTTTTCCCTAATTTGCTTTTGTTTTATCATGGTAAAGGACTCAAACAATTTAAATGGGTACATTCTGAGTATAACTATTTTTTTTTTTTTACCAGCCTTCAAAGGTATTTTATAAAATAATCTGTACACCAAATTTTGTGAACCTCACAAGCTACAAAAACTTCTAATTATTTTTGGCACTCTGAAAATTAATCCAAATGTGGTCAAAAATAGACATTTATTATTTATAGTTTTTGATATTTTGATAACAAAGTATTTTTTTTAAGTGAGAATAAGTCTATCTGGCTTAGATTTAGTGTTACAAATGTTCAAACATGCCGTGTTTTAGTGCATTCACTCGGACAATTTTAATAAAAAATAACCCTCAATTTGTTGTGCGAAACCACGCAAAATAGGTAACAAGGTAAATTGAAAAAGCATTATAGGTTTATGTAAAATTTTAGTTATTACTATAAAATTAAATATGATATGTAAGTTTTGATTATACCAATGGATAAGCACTAAAAAACACACATTCTGTAATAAAAAAAAATTTGAAAATGTTAAATTATAACTAAGAAATACGTAAAACAGAAAACGCGAACTTCATGAAGTTTTCCCCCATAACTTCCAAACAAAGTTTGTCAGACTTTTTTTTAGATTCTTAATTTACACGCAAACACTCATTTTGAAAAAAAAAATTAAAAAATGAACTTTGGTCATAAACTAGATTTATACCAAAAATACTGTTATAGTACATTGAAAATTGGCAGAACTTTGCACTCAAAACATTCATTGGAATTTTATATAAACTATAAAGGGAATTTGAGTTATTTTACAATTAAATATATGGATACACGTGTGACATACTGTTAATGTAGGCACACCACTCCATGTCTTCATATATAGTTATTAGATTAATTTTGATTGAATCTAGTGTTAAAAGAATACAAACACTGTTATGTATTATTTACCAGTTAGCTTAGTAAAAGGATGAAAAAACATACAACACTTGAATATAGTATAAATTAATGTGTAATATTCTTCTTCTTTCGCACATCATTTTATTTCTTTACTATTTGGATTGGCCACTTTAACTTTAAGTATACATTAACTCGGTCTCACATATCAAATTTCACACCACCATAATTTTCATATCACTTTGAATTTTGTATGATCATCACCGTTTTAGTTTAAACCTTCCATTCATTGACACTCATTTATAAAACATTTTTGACTCATGTCTAAATCATACGTCTCTCACAGTATTCTGTAATTTCATCAAATATTAAAACACTGTATAAAACTAATATAGAAAAAAATCTTCCTATATCTGCTGCTCAGACTTAAAATAATATAAATAACTAGTATTTTTTTGATAAAATAAAATTTGGTTTAAATTATTTATTCAGATTAATATGAGTGCAAATTTCTGAAAAAGTATAGTACTGACTCATATTACTCTAATAAGAGAAATATAATTTTAAAAATATTTAATGAAACAATTAATTATTCATCTACCATACATATATAATTGTAAACATAGTAATTACAGCAATAAATAATAATATAATTTATAACTAAACAATTTTTTTTTACTACCTCTGCAACTTTGTTGAACCGAACTACTTTACTACTTGACTTAGCATTTCCCGATTCATCACTTTCAGTACCAGAAGTCACACTAGGATTTTTAATCGGAACATAGCTAGCTGAACTCTATAAAAAAATATTTTTTAAAACATTCAAAAATCAAATCAAATTTAACAGGTATTAATTGCTTATAAAAAATTTCAATACAAAATATTAAAATCTTATTTAAAGAACAATTTTATCTTTTAGTGTAAAAAATATACATAAAACATTGCAAATTAGTTAGTTATTTACGTCCCTCAATTTAAATTAAATTTGTTAACTTATTAGCAAATTTATGTTTAATTATAAATAATTTATATATAAGTTTAAAAATTAAGAAAATATGTATACCGGATTATGTCGGATACATGATACATATTATAGTAACCAAAAAAAAAAAAATGCTTACTAATCTTTCAGCTTCATCAGTAAAAATGTTTTCATCTTCTTCATCATTATCATCATCATCATCCATTTTATCAAAATTAATAAACTGAAATATGAAAATAGATGAATTGTAGAACGGTATTATATTAGAATTTAAATATTGTAAATAAATTATTAATATCCAAAATTACCATATAGTTTGTTTGGTTTCCACACGGCTTCCGTAGTTCTTTAAATATTATATATATCAGAAAGTAAATTGTAAATATAGATGCTTTAGTATAAGCAAAAAAAAATGGTTTTTTATAATCATCATTTTTGTAAGGAACATACTGAAAAATAAATATTTTATAGGTAATGATTTATAATTATTGCAAAATAATTAAAATATTAATCAAAATCTCCATGAAATTAATATAATTATGGAATATAGATTAACATAATATATCACTCGTGTTTGTTTTAAAGAAAACTCTCTTAATGTTTATGGGTTTTAACTTATGGGTTACACAACTTACATTTGTGAATTTTGATGACAAGATCCATATTATATCTGCCAATAATAGTAACAACAAACCAAGTGTCAGTCTTTGAGACGGATTGTGCATTTTTGAAGCAACAATAAACCGTTATGGCAAAAACAATTCCATTAGGTCATCTAATATTATATAATTACACACAAAATTAAGAAAACAATTAAACAAATATGTTAGAAACTAGTTAAACTAGAATACACAATTTTATTAAATGATCACATTTCTGCAGTTTTTTAAATAAATATTTACACAAAAATTTATTACAATTTTCATGTTTTACCTATCCCTTATCAGAGATTGAATAATATTGATCTATAAATTAAATGTGTTTCGTGAAATGTTGTCGTGTATGTTAAGTAAATAATAAATACATGCAAATGATAAAATAGTTTATCATTATCACTATACATCATGATTAAAGATAATACAATCGTGGATTTAATATTATCATTGATTATAGAATACACAAATAACCCATGGTATAGGAATGTCTAGTGACTAAAATTATGTTTATGCTTTTTCCTAAAAGATGGCGTTGTACGAATCAATGAACAAATAATTTTACTTGAAATGATATTTTTGTTATTATTGTCAGTGATCGATCGTGACGTCACGGTTTTTTTTTCGGAATTGACTATTATTCATTTCTTCACAATTTTATAGTCGATATACGTCTTGTATTTGATAGTAGGTTTGTTAGTGCCAGTTTGTAGACTGAAATGGAACATAAAAAGTAATTGTTTGTCTAGTGCCTAGTTGAGGTCCCCCCCAAAAAAAGGAAAGCATGTATTTATACAATTATATTTATTATGTTATAAATTAAAATTATTAACAATTATTACAAACTTTAAGACTTATTTTATTAGAAAAAACATCTTTATATGAAAAATGTATTATCTATTAAATTTTTAAAATCAGTAAATAGTAGTTATAATAAAAAAAACATCATCAGTTTTATAGCATAAATTATAAGATATAATAAACACATGTTGAGTCTCATAGTGGCGATAAAGTTCTGCAGGTTCTGAAAATTCTGTACTCAGCTACTAACAAATGTATGACTCTATAGAATGACAGATTGAACTAGATAGACACAATGTCACAACAAAGAAATAATGAAGAAATTAAAATATTATAATTATTCTTTCTAAATGTGGTTTAATATTTTTAATTTTGAAAGTTTTTCTATTTTTTATGTCATTGAATACATTTTTGTTTTATTAAATATTTTGCATATTAAAAGATGTTCAATTATATATATTTTATGCTCTACACAGTTTGCCATGGATTCATCAAGCCATTTTATTTAGCCAAGCTTCTATTAAACATTTTTGTACAGTACCTAAATCGGTTAATGCAAAGAGTTATGGATTACAGTTCTATAAAGACCTGCTATTAAGACAATCAAATAAATTATTAATAAACTCAATGAATTACGAAAATAATACGAAATACAATGATAATAAACAATTGTATACCAATTTATTTGAACAAATATTCTATTATAAGTACCGCAATAACGCGCAATAAACTACCCCCGCACCACTTATCATTCTATGATGGTGTTACCACCTCCTAGCATCCTAAACTATACTAGCACTTCATAGCAGTGGCATCCTTTTTATAGTCGCCAAATATTAACATTGCCTGGGATATCTATGTATTCTATAATCAATGTTAAGATGTTTATTTTTTTTATTTTTCTAGTGTGTGGAAACGTTTTATCCTATTAACATTGCTCCCATTTTTACGTGTAGCAACTTTTTTGAAAGCTCAAGTCCTTCAGATGGTATTTAAGTGAGGCCATTTTTTAAATGAAAACATTTAAAGGGGATAAAACGTTGGAAAACGTACAATTTCACGATTTCATTATTTTATAAAAACAAGGACGACGTTTTCTACTGAAAAATGATTTAATCGAAAAATCACGACACTTTTTTTTGCCTTTTTGATTTACTTTCTTACGGTATCATCACCAAAACTTTTGAGGTTTTAAGGAATTTTAATTTTTGAGTTTTTTTTTTGGTGTAATTCGGTTATAATTACACGTAGACTTGAAACTTGGTAATAGTAGTGATAAAATTCCCAAAATCATCAGAAGACTTTTTTTTTTATAAGCGTTTTGAAATCAAATTTAAACGAAAATCGCAAAAAAAATTACGACAATTTCAATTATGTATTACCGAACTGCGCTTGGAATCGTCTTTCAGCAAGCAATGGTTTCTCGTTGCTTACAGGTATAAATGAAATAACCTTATGTATCCTACTTTTCCAACTTCTAACCTACAACAGTGGCCGCTCCCATCCATAGTATCAGCTCTTTTTTCTTTTATTTAATTATGTATTAACAAACTCATTGATAAATAAACACTATACTTATAAATACTTAATACCTACTATGTGTGTTCAATTATTACTATAAATTAATTATATTTAGTATTCTTTAATAGCTGCATGTGTTGCATGCTTAGGTTGTGATTTAAACAATTTTCTTTTATTATTTATTATTTAGACAATTATTTATAGTAGGCAATTTATTTTAAGATATCAAAAGTAGGTAGCATAACATTCTATTATATGAATTATAATAATTATATAATAATGGACAATGGATAATTATAAACATTGTTGATCACTAATCAGTGAAAGAATAGACAAGGCTCTCCCAGTATTTGTAATTTGTAAACGATGTATTGGTGTAAAAGAATTTGATCTGTGCATTTTTTAAGTTAAATTTGTTATTGGCAAACTTCTTTGGATACCCATGATTGTAAAATATACACTTTCAAGTAACTACTTATATAATATATTCCAATTGGTATATAATTAAATTGTACAATCAATATGTTTAAATATTATAGGATTTAATTACATATGCTTGAAACAAAACAGTAAATTACGCTCATACTGAACTAGGCAAACTACCAAAATCATGACAAGGTTTACATCTAGGCGCTTACATAAGAGCCTTAGTTTATATGAACGGGTAGCTAGGTCATCATAATATACTATGGATTATGATAAATTAAATAGGTATGTCAGCAACTTTGTGATTCACCGCGTGTGACGTAAGCTTTTCAGCTACTGTTGTCACAATACGAAATACAAAAAATTATTGAGATTTGCAATAAATGCCTATGATTATTATAATTTTAATTTACGTTTCTGCTTTGGGAAGTATTTTGATAGTTCCTCAATATAAAAAAGTCCTTCAACTCGTTTCTTTTTTACTTCTATAACTACTAATTAAAAGAATACTTACTATAACAATACTTTTTACTCGTATATCAATCAAAATACACACACAGGCATTTCAGTTAATATAATGTATATATATATATTGTATAAATAAACAAATGCAGGTAATTATCCTTATTTATTAATTAATTAATTACCTATATTTATTTTTAATGATTCGTAATGAATATGTAGATTGTTAAAAAGAATATAAATAGCTTTAAGATGTACATTTGTTTAGTTTATTTTTTTATTTTTAGTAGTATCATTAAATAATAATGAATAAATAACAAAACAATATAGTTAATAAATCGGAAATTTAAATTCACCATTAATTTGTCTCTTAGAAGTGGGATGTCGTTAACCTCCATATTATAGGTATTACATGAATATAAATATTACAACCAATGGGATGAGCCGAAAAGCTACGTCACAAATGTAGACGGAGGGAAGTCGGGGGGAAGGAATATGCGTAGATACGATGAATATAGAATTTTGGTTGTTATACCTATTTAATCTTTCATGTTATGAATGTAGTTATGCATATACCGAATTGTGTCCAACATTATCTCCACCATTTTTAAAGTTTCACGGTCACGACACAATGGGCATGCCCAGAAATCAGTTGGCGGCTTATGACGAATGATACGTGATAATGTTGAAAATAAAACCAAATTTTTTGATACTGATTTCTGGGTTTTTGCAGTTGTGTCGTGTACCGTAAAATGTTGAAGTTAGTGGGGATGATGTTGGACACAATTCGGTGCTGGAGCAATTATACACAATATCAAGAAGTTCTAAGATCGTGACTACATTTATAGTATAAAATCTAAGATTATTGATAGGGGATTATGTGGTCTAGTGCTGCCAAATGGTACGATCTTGGTGGGGGAATACGATAATTTAGAACCAAGTATGATCTTCCATTAAACCTTTTGATGGGTTATAAAGAATAGAATCTTTTTAGAAAAAACGTATTTTACAATAGTTACAATAATGAAATTAGCAAAAATCTGCCATTTTTCACAAAATGAGGTTTTTATATTAAACTATTCGGAATCGCTTGGTGCAAAGTATTAATTTTTAAAACATAACGGTTCATTTCCCTCTAAAATTGATTTAAGTGATAACATGTATCGAAGTTATGTATTGCAATATTTACAACAACAAATTCATATCATAAATAATGTTCGTTTTTACTTGTTAAATTAATTTTATTCTATTGTTAATTTGTATTAATTGTTATATTTGTTTTTTTATTAATTTACCGATTTATCGTTATGAGTGAAATTGAAAGTGATAAGTGTTCAATTTTACATAAAGTTTTTTTTTATAAAAATACGATCTTTTAAGAATTTTCCCCCATTTTTTGGATTACTAAGTTTGGCAGCACTGATGCGGTCTTTTCAGTTTTTGCCATCCTTTAATCTAGAGATAAACTGAATTTAGTGAATTGTTTTCAAGATTCTTCGTGTTTATAATAACATATAAAATTATACAATTATAATTCATACGCTAATTTGTAACATTTGCTTTAATTTAGGAAATAATATGTTATCCAATCAAGACAAGAAGGGTGAAGAAATTCAAATATCTGAAGAAGAAAATGACAAGCTAACTATTAAACCTCTGTAAGATATTAAAATCTTGTAATAATAATTTTTTAGTTCAATATTTTAAATAATGGAATCATCTGAAGAAAATGAAATTATTAATACCACTAAACTAAAACTTTTGAATTGTGTTATTTATCCTGGTATTGTTAATAATGCTAAAAAAGCGATTAACAATCTTGGTGGTATTGATGAAATAGCTTATGCATTTGAGAATCCAGAAGCTTCACTGACTGTTAATTTAGTAAAATCAGAATTTGGACCACCACTTGCTGGGAATAAAAATTATGAACGTTCATTTTTTGTATCAGTAAAGACAAAATATAAAGTAAATAAAAATACAGGGGAAAAAATGTGTATTGATGTATTGCCTGCTAAAATCATTGGATTTGTACACAAGACTTTTACTTTTACCAACATTGTGGATTTTGCTTATTTTCCACCTAAGCCAAATTGTTCTGAATTATGGCATAGTAATAAATTGTTTGATATAGAT